ACCCCTTCAGCAGACGCACGCTTCGAGAACACAGCTCAGCGAACACGCCGACACCCCCCACCCAGTCGCTTTCTCAGCGCTTGGCTGTTTCTGAAACCGGCGTGGCTGCTCTCGCTGTCAGCCAAACCGAGAGGAAGACTGCAGGTAAGAAGCGTTTCGCTTTCGCCGCGTACTTATTATATAAGACTCGTGCTAAATGTACTGTACCCACTTCCTGCAATGTTATTGTTTAATAAAACCACGCCACTAAAAAACTTCACTAATGGGTTACTACAGAAAAACACCCTTCCGTAGCGAACCCCTCTCGCTCACTGCTGTTCATTTACAGGAGAAATGTACTTTCCAACTCTCTCTGCTGTGTCCTTACTACTGTATATTGTAAATTATGGAGCTCACAACGGTCAGTGCTTAGATCTGCGATACCCACTCTACATACGACACTGCGATGGGGTTTGGAAAAATTCGTTAGAGCTTCCGTTCATAAGTGAAATGCAAATTAAAATTGATCTCAGGGTTCGATATTAGTGCTGTACTTTACGTGCATACTAACCCTCCCAGGCACGCACATACTGTAGACACCCACATCTCTCCACTCCACTCGTCACACCCCCGCACTCGTCAGCGCGAGCTCGCCCGCCCAGGCACGTGCGTCCTCCAAGACGAGACGGGTTCTTGCAGTTGTAAGTTTTAAGCTTGCGGTCGGGATGTGTCAACATTAAAGCGGTAAAACGTCGTTTAGTCTTCTCATCCCCCGCGGAGACAGAGCTACAGACGGAACGCGAAGGTGGCGCTCAAGTAAATTGCATAACCCGTCCTCCAAAAAAAAAAAAAAAACACACATCTTCAGTGTTTCCCCTGATAAAACAAAACAAAGGATACGGCTGGAGGCGTTCAGACTAAAAAAATGGTTTTGCTTCCAGTGAGCAAGATGTGCCTGACGGATCTGATTTTGATTCGGTACGGCTGTCCATAGCTGCCTCACTAGAGTGATACTAGTTGCAAATGGACCTGGCTAATGGAACTGATTACAACTGTAGGGTGAGTTTAACTGGAAGCCCTGTGAATGTCCACATCTTCATCTGCAAAAGCCTGCACTCGTTCAGAAAGTGCTCTGTCCTCCTTAACCCCTTTTGAAAATGTTCTTCACTGCAAGTCCTCCCACATCAATATCTGTATTATCACTGCCATAACTTCGTCTTGTGCATTTGTGAACATTGTCACAGGACTACAGTCAACAACAAATGCAAGTCTTTAGTCTAAAGAAAAAGGTGAAAAGCAACAAGAATTGGGATTTATACCCAGGACTGTGCAATCC